ATAAGACTTTTTCATTTAAATTAATGTCTATTTTGGAACATTAATAAATTCATAGAAAAAAGTATCATCATTTTTACCATATAAATTATTTGAGAGAAAACAAATAAATCCCTAATTTTCTTTGTTCACCTATCATATTCTTTGAAGAAAGACTCCATTTTATGAAGGAACCATAAACTATTCCTACAAATGGAGAAGGGATTTAGAATCATCTATCTGCATCTCATTCCTAATTCAAGAATTTCTTATTCAAGTTCCCTGATTAATGAAAATTCAGTGGCCACTGGAGCACTGCCAGACGTGTGAGCTCACTAGACCCCCTCAACTAATAATGTGAACATTGCTCTTTATTTGTGGTTTTCTTCCTTGTATAATATATTCCTTCACTCAACACATATTTATGGACCCTGCTGCTAGGAATTAATAAGGCACCAAGCTTGCATTTAAGAACTTGTCATCAAACAAAAAAGTGCACCAACTGCTGCTAATTCTTACCCCGACACAGAGGACTGAAATATTTGAAGAGACATGTGCCCCTGTATTTTTCCTTCTAAGCTGGAAGTCTGCAGGCAAGAAAATAGTTGCTCAGATGATTGTTTGCAGGCACATGATGCCTGTCACATTCCTTTCATACTTTCTACTTCAGAGATAATTTATAAATATGAAACTAAATCTTAATACTATAACTTGAGGTTTGGATGATGGTATGAAGAAATAAGTGGAATTATTTCTTCCTTTCATTCCCTCCTATATCTTCAGTGTTATGTTTTGAAGTCTATTGTCTCAGGGTACAAATTACATTTTCTATTATTCTTTCTGGCATTTAACCACCCACTATATTAACCATTTCCTTTTATAGAAGATAATCTGATAAACTGATAAAAATTGAGGACAATGACAAAACCCTAAGCTATCTGCTTAGGACCTGAATCAGAATACTAGGTCTGTGAAAAAATTGTGCATACATTTTTAAGGAGGTAATTCTGAGTTTTAATCTCATATTCAAATAGTCTGGAGACCTCATTCTCCTCAAATATATTTAAGAACTAGTGCTCAAAACTACAATAATATTATCAAAATTGCCACCAGATCCAAATATAGACTAAAACCAATCCATCTACTGTGTGATACAATCTTCCTCCAAGCCATGATTTTAGTATTACATTTATAATCTACAATAAGCAAATTCTTTACTTACCATTAAAATGTTTCACATGAAAGAACATCGGGTATAGTAAATTCTAAATAAAAAGCAAAACAAGGGCACTTGTTTCTATGAGGTGTGAAATATTTTAATTATCCTGAGACAACATTTTGAATTAACGCATTCATGGAATATGTTTTTTTTAAAAAAAAAAAAACTTTATTTTATATATTTTTTTTTATGTGGTGCTGAGGATCAAACCCAGGGCCTCACACATGCTGAGTGAGCACTCTACCACTGAGCCACAACTCCATCCCCATGGAATATGTTTTTAATGAACACATGTCCCCTTAATCACAAGAATCTGAGGTTGAAAAATATTTTCTTGAAGTTTCATGATAGACTTTAAAGGAAATACATAATATCTCAGCAATAAAAATCAACAAAGTCTTGTAAATAAATTTAACAAATGTTTATTGTTTAATTTAAAAATTTACTGTTTTAATAATAAGAACCTGACTGTGATCTGGGTTATTCACACTTCTTTATTTGAAATTTTTCCCATAATAACTGTTTCTCATCATGATACTTATCATATTTTTGCCCATGATACTTATCATATTTTTGTCCTTTACTCCTAACCTTTAAGTTTTATGAATGCATAGGTCATTTCTATCTTAGTCTCCATTACTTCTCCAAACTGTCACATGGTACCTAGCCTATAATGCATAAGCAACAAATATTTTCTTATTGAATTTCAAGTCATAATGAAGGTGAAAAAAGGGAAACAAAAATTAGGAAGTTCACCTAAATATTGAAATAATTAACTTTGCTTGACTTGGCTACATTTTACCCCTGAGAAAATTAAGAGGGCAGAAAAAATAATTTCTAGGTTTCAACTCAAATGTGGACTTTTCATCATTTCATTATTTCATTATTTCTAAGACTTGACATGTATTAAAAGTATATGTAGAACGTTCTTTCCCAAAAGATCTCATTAAATTTTAAGCCAGGCTTGACAAGCATGGATATTAGGAGAGCCCAGGTGCTTGCTGGTTTGAACACCACATTCTTTTCAACAATATATAAGCTGCTTTCCAGAGCAGGGAAACTTACTACAGCCCTTCACACTTCTCTTCCCACAGTGGATGGGTGGCCATGCATTTCCTGGAGAATGAGCACAAACTCTGCAGTGGGCACAAGGAGCTGGCTCAATTCTATGGGAATTAGGAGTAGCTACAGTCTCGCTGTGTTTTGGGCATAATGGACTCCTTTAATTACACATCTACAGGGCTTCCTTAGCTGCTAGGAGACCCCACTCAAGTGCTCAATGAAGGAAACCCTCTTGATTCAAAGACTCAGGATATGCGTATTTGAATACCCACTGCATCCTGCCCCCCTGGTGCCACTTTAGCCCTCTGTGGCCTGCAGATGGCCCGGCCTGGCAAACACTCTCCTTGTTCAAAGGGAGATTAGCAGGTGTTAAAGACCACTGGCTTCTAATCAAGGCTTTCCTCTAATGTAATCAGAAAAATGAAAGAACATGGAAAAGGAAAGTTATAGATAGAAAGTAAGCAGATGTTTGAAGCATTTTATGTAGGAAGTAGATACTCATGGGTTTTTGATGCACAGAAACCCTTAGAAACCCTCTGGCTAAGACAGGAGACTTCCTGTAATCTGACCAGCAGACTTCACTTGCCAGGTCCCTTTGTGCCCCTGAATTGAACTATTGTACATTTTAATAGACTATCATTCATGTAAATATGAATTAGCAATGGATAATCACATAATTATTCATTCAAATATCACAATTAAGTTTTTAAGTGTGCATATGTTTGGAGGTCCTTTTATTTGTATCTAAATTATCTAAGGCTATTACAACAATTGTTCACAACAATTTGCAATCCTATCCAAGTAAAATGAAAGTTATCTACACCTAGAATTACTTTTTATTTGTGTTTACTTTTAAAATATTATTTACACTTTATTTCAATACATTTTATTTTTCATGCATGTAGAATAACTCTTTGCTTAGGATGGGAGGCAGATTCATTTTCTAAAAATAGCAACTTCTCCCAGGACTCATTATTATATAATACAATGAATGGAAAAAATAATACTCAGTATTGATAATGCCCCTCCCTCCAGTATGATCAATAGTCCTTAAGTATTCTCTTTACCATGGTATTCTCTGACCTATGTTTTTCAGAATTTTTCTACTGATATGGTCATCAAGCTAATCTCTTTAGTAACCAAAATTCTCTACAATCTGATCTATTTCCAGGTTTTTAATGTTAGTCCTAATATATTTCCAATATTATTCTTTTTCTATCATGAAATTCGTTTCTTTGCTAGATATTTCACATTTTCTGGTCAAATCCACCAAGATAATTTAAGAATGCCTGTGGCATAGCTCAGGGGAAAATATGTCTTAATTTTTTATTCATAAAAGAAACATTTAAAATCAAACCAAATACATATTTTTT